CTGCTAACCATGATTTCTAAAATTGTACTCAACCATGACCCCTACATGAAACTAGATGGGGGGAGGGGGGTCCTTAATGGGTTGGGCTCGACTCTCCCCAGCCACAGTGGCTTCCTGCTTATTTATACTCCTGGACAAGCACTTCATTTGAAAAAGGATTCATTGTCTAGAAATGTTTGAAAAGCACTGCTGTAGGTGACAAAGAGTCCCTGAAAGATTTGAAGCAGGAGACTTATGTAATGTGCATTTGAGATCACTCAGACGGTAGACAACAGACTGGAGGAAAACAAAATGAAAGGCAAAAAGACCAGATAAGAGGCTACTTCAACAGCCCAAGCGATGGTAGGTACTGGAAAGATGGCATTGCAGCAGGGCTAAACAGGAGGCAACCACAAGAGAGACTGGAAGGTGGAGTCAACGGGGCATGGTGAATGACTCGACTGGTGTGTGCAGGGGATGGTGGGGTTGGGGATGGATGAGACAAAGGGAGGACTGGCTCGCAGATTCCGGCTCGGGCCACTGCACGAGTGGGGGTGTCACTGTAGGGGAGGAGGAGAAGGAAGGAATTGTATGTGGCTGATAGTTAGAGACCTGTCTGCAGGGGCTTCAACACAGTGGTTTGTTCTCCTGTAAAAGACATCCAGAAGAGGGGCGCCTGGGCGGCTCAGTCGGTTAAGCATCTGACTCTTGATTTTGGCTCAGGTCATGACCTCAGGGTCGTGAGATCAAGCCCCACATCAGGCTCCATCATGGAGCCTGCTTGGGACTCTCTCTCTCTCCCTCTACCCCTGCCCCCCACTGTCTCTCCCCCTCTTAAAAAAAAAAAAAAAAAAAAAGGTGGTTCATGGCAGTGACCAGGACCCAAGGACAGTGATGGCGAAAGCTCTGTAATTCTTGTGGCCTTTCCTTCCCGGTCCCAGGACGGCTGCCGGTGCTCCAATTATCATGTCCGTTTTCCCAAAAAGCAGGAAGGAATAAGACTAGAAGAGTAAAAAGGCCTTCCCTTGGACGCCTCATCCAAAAACTTTTATCCCTTTTACTTGGCAAAAGTGAAGTCACATTCAGAATCTTACAGGTTTGGGGGGGGGGGCACTGGACTATATACCCTAACTTTGCAGATGCCAGTATACAGGCAGATATAAAAGAGGAGTGTTCTGGTGGTGCTGGGTCAGCCCATCTGCAGTATTTCCTTATTAGAGAAATGATGAGTTTGGCCTCGGTCATGTTGGATCTGAGACAGAACATCAGGTGAAGAGGTAGAGTAGGCAGTTAGATATACAGTTCTGGGTACAGGAGAGAAATGTAGGCAGATCTAGATTTTGTGAGTCACCAGCACGTAAGTGTAACTGACGCCGTGAAAAGTTGTGAGAACGTCCTAGGACAGTATAAAGAGAGAGGGGGTAAGATCCAGGCCAGAGCCCAGGGGAATACCAACATTTAACAGGCAGTCCAGAAGACTGAGAAAGCCAAAGAAGTAGGAGAATCTCCAGAGCAGCTTCACAGAACTCAAGGAAGGAGAGCATCAAGGGAGGCAGGGTCAACAGAGAGACAGAAAAGCACTGGATTTGCAACAGTGGGACTGCTGGATGGGAAAGGGGGCCTGGGGAACAATAGTGTCAAAAAAGAGGCACTTTAGAACGGAAGGCTTGGAGGTGGACCGTGATGGGCTCCAGGGCATATGTACTTTTTTTTTTTTTAAGATTTTATTTATTTATTTGGCAGAGAGAGAGGGAACACAAGCAGGGGGAGCGGGAGAGGGAGAAGCAGGCTTCCCGCGGAGCAGAGCGTCCGATGCGGGGCTCGATCCCAGGACCCCGGGATCATGACCTGAGCGGAAGGCAGACGCTTAACGACTGAGCCACCCAGGCGCCCCTCTTTTTTTTTTTTTAAGTAGGCTCCATGCATGGAGCCCAACACGGGGCTCAAACTCACGGCCCTGAGACCAAGACCTGAGCTGAGATCAAGAGCCAGACACTCAACCGACAGAACCCCCCACACGCCCCTGGGATCCTGGGCATATGGTGGGCAGACTGCACGTGTTCCCCAACTGGTGCTCTCACACACAGCTGGCTAAGGAGGGAGAGCGGGCCGAAATGCCCCCAGGGGAGCACGCTAGAGTGGGCCACTGGACAGACTGCTCATGATTAGAGCAGGAACGACGTCAACCGGGGGGAGGGGTGGGGAGGGAAGTTTACCCTGCCTTGTTGAGAGAAGGCAGGGTAAACTCTGAGAACTCTCTGGCCCAACAGAGTCACTTGGCCAGAGGCCACGAACCTGGGCAATACCTGGCCCTAAGGCTAGGTCCCAAAGCTGGCTCACTTCCAGGAACAGGCTGGTTCGATGCCGGGGTTTGTACTTCAGACTAAAGCCACTCCGTTTTCTGGCCTCTAGGTGAGGGCGTCTGCCTTTTAGTGCCATGGGGCCTGCAGCCTGCTGTGTTCTTAGATCGGTTTTTGTATTAACTGAATAATACACATCCCTTTAATATACAGTAATACTATTATAATTACTATATGTAACTATGATATATATACATATATAATAAACATATCATAAATATCTTAGTGATCTTAAAGACACTCAGTTGGCAATTTTCTTTTTTTTAAAGATTTTATTTATTTATTTGAGAGAGAGCAAGTGAGCTCAAGCAGGGGGAGCGGCAGAGGGAAAGGGAGAAGCAGACTCCCCCGCTGAGCAGGGATCCCGATCTGGGGCTCGATCCCAGGACCCCAGGATCATGACCCGAGCTGAAGGCAGACGCTTAACAGACTGAGCCACCCAGGCAGTTGGCCACTTTCAAAATCAGAAAACTACATAAGGGTTAATGGAGGGAGAAAAAGCATAAGACAATGGGTTAGCTTTAGATGGGGCATCATACTTGACAACCTTCCTATTTACCATAATGGAGTATTTTCCCCATGTTTCCCGAAGGGCATTCCTTTGTAGATTTCAACAATTTTATAATCTGGTTCTATTATTGGCCTCGAGTTGTATCTTATATATAACCAATTTCCTCTTCAGCTGCACAATTCTAGAAGCCCAGCTGTCACAATGGTGCTCGAGGCCTGATATGCTATTGAATGTCACCTAGCGGTACTTCTTTTCATGACTGTGGGCTGACAACAGTTTGGTTTCTTAAATTAACATAGCAAGATGTCAGCCTGTCGCTTTTTCCAGCTCAACACTAGAATACAAGCTCCATACAGGCAGGGTTCTTTGCTTGTTGACTGGTTGTACGGGGTTGGATGGTATCCCTTAAAAAGTCATGTCCTTCCAGGAACCTCAGAATGTGACCTTATTTGGAAAGAGGGTCCTTGCAGATATAATTAGTTACAATGAGGTCATGTAGATGAGTAGAATGTGCCCTTAATCCAATGTGACTGGTGTCCCTATAAAAAGAAGGGAAGAAAAACAGAGACCGAGACACAGGGAGAAGGCCATGTGTTGATACAAAGACTGAAGTGTTGCATCTACAAGCCAAGAAATGCCAAGGATTACACGCCTGGGTGGCTCAGTTGGTTAAGCGTCTGCCTTCGGCTCAGGTCATGATCCCAGGATCCTGGGATCGAGCCCTGCATCGGGCTCCCTGCTCCACGGGAAGCCTGCTTCTTCCTCTCCCACTCCCCCTGCTTGTGTTCCCTCTCTCGCTGTGTCTCTGTCAAATAAATAAATAAAATCTTTAAAAATAAAATAAAATAAAAAATGCCAAGGATTGCTGGCAACCACCAGAAGCTAGGAAGGGCTGAGGAAGGATCCTCCTCCAAAACTTTCAGAGAGACCATGGCTCTGCCAACAGCTTCATTTCAGACTTCTAGCCTCCAGAAATGTGAGACAATTTCTGTTGCTTTGAGCCACCTAGTTAGCGGTACTTTGTTAGAGCAGCCCTAGCAAATAAATACACTGGCATATCACAGGCTTCTGCACAGGACCTGGCACAGAGCGGGAGCTCAGGAAATGAAATGTATGTGAAGGAACATCTGGACTTTTTAATTCCCTACAACTGACCTCTCTGTGGCCTGAGGCACCTGTTGATAACCACCCTCCCCAGACATGCGCACTTCCTGATACTCTCTCTTCCCGTTTTCCACATGGCCAGGTTCCAATTATTTTGTCTGCTTTTTAAATTCCCCAGGATTATATCTTCAGTCCTCTCTCTTCTTGCTCCACATTCCATGTAATGTTAGCCCTTCCCAGGTTTCAATTCCTTATCTCAACCAAGGACTCCCAAATCTCAAACAGATCCAACCATGTCACTCCCCTGCTTAAAAGAGAGAGATGGCACTTGCCGGCAGGTAAGGTCCAAACTTGCCTACTTCAGCATTTTACTCTGTCCCCACCTCAGGATGCACGAACCCCTTCCTGTAAAGTCACCTGGGCTACAGTCACCAAGGACCATTCGAAGTTCCCAAGCACACCATAAGTGCTCCTTTCAATGCTTCCATATTCCCTCCACCGGGATGCTCCTCAGCCCCCTCATCTCCTTGGTGAAATCCTAGTTCGAGGCCAAACACAAATGCCATCATCTTTTGGTGCCTTTCCTGACCACCTTTCAGGAGAATGACCCGCTCCCATCCGTTTTCCCATAGCTTTTGGCTCACCGCTTTAGGCATTTTATCCTATCACAACAGGTGGCCCGTTCCCCCACCGAGCTGTGGGCTCTGCAATGGTAAGGGCAGTACTTTATTCATCTCCACAGAGCCAGTCCCCAGCTTGGTGCCAGGCACATGGCACACTCCAAGACATCACAGGTTGAATGAACTCATTCTACTTGCCAAAAACCCAAATTACAGCTATCAAATGGCACATTATCACATCTCAGCAGCATTTCAACAAAGCACAGCAAAGGTATTGCTGCATTAACAGAAGTTAGACAGCTAACACAAATGTCAAAGTGTTGGGCCCATTAAGAACAACCTGTTTAGCACTAGATGGGGTACTCATATTCCTCAGAACCAGACTGAAACACAAGAAGGAAATAAATCCTAGCATCCACCTCTTACCTCCGAAGATACATGGTCTCCTCATCTTCCGTGTTACAAAACTTGTGGGCGTGTTTGGCAGCATCAATCACACGGGACCGATCCCGGGGCCTCATGGGCAATTTCTCTAACTGACAGTCTGAAGAAACGGAATAAGATTCGGTCACTAGCGCCACTGAAAAACACCCCGGGGCAATCACAAGTGTTCAGTGGGGCCCTTAGCCCTACAATGTTTTACTATAATTACTAAGGCTTATGGAAGCCTATTATTGAATTTCCCAACTGAAAATGACGTGGTGTCAGAAGATCTGGAGCTCTGTTACCATCTTGGCGATCTTTGGCAAATTACTTCCTTTTGTTTTTTTCTTTCCTTATTTGAAGGATAAGTAGATGACAATATCTCAAAAGTCCTTCCCAGCATGGCAAGTTTGCTGTGAGTGTTTCTGTGATCACAGTACACTTGGTTTGTGTTCTAATGCATGAGAATCAGACGAGACAATCAAGGGTCCTGAAACGCCTATGAGGAGGGCATTGGGAAGAGTGGTTAAGTGCTTAGAAAACGAGAGAAAAGAGGGTCAGTGCTGTGCTACATGTGGCGAGGAGTGTCAATCTGAAAACAATGAAAACATACAGGAAATAAACGAGGTGTAGTTAAAAAGCAGACGGAAACTGATATAATGCAAATGAAGTACCTAAAGGGTCACAGAGAAGTCAAGTGATCACAGTGAGTTGAGATTAATGGAGGAAGGGGCGGGGGAATTAGAGAGTACCAGGCAGTCTGCATGTTCATTAATCTTCACAATGACCTGCTGGAGTAGACATTTTGTATTCCTAGTTTAGAAATGAGGGAATTGAGGCTTACAAAAGGCAAGAGACTTGCCACACATTTACTAAGAGGGAGAACAAGAATTCAGACTCAACTCTAGGTGATTAAAAGAGAACTCATTTATACAACAAAGATTCGAGGGCTCTCTATGCACCAGGCGCAGTTCAAACATGGTGCTGGGGATTCAGCAAAGGACAAAGCAGAGTCCCTGCCTGCCCTGATGAAGTTTACATTCTAGTGGAAGAGGCAGAAAATTTAAAAATAAGAATCATATAACATGACCTTGGATAATGATAAGTGCTAATAAAAAAAATTAGCAGGATATTAAGAGGATGGACAGTGATCTCAGATAGTGGGGCAAGTGCTACCAAGAAAAATCAGGCAGGGTAAGGGGACAAAGTGTAACAAGGGTGCCATTTTAGATAGTCAGGGAAGAGTTTTCTAAGGAAGGGATATTTCAGCAGAGACCTGGATGAAATAAGAAAGCACCAAGGGAAGAGGGTTCGAGGCAGGAAAAAACAGCAACCCCAAAGGCCCTGGGAGCAAAACATTTTGACATGATAAAGAAAAATCAAGAAGGCTTCTGTAGAAGGAGTGCAGTGAGCCAGGGGAAGAGTGTTAGGAGATGAAGTCCAAGAGGTAGCTGAGGATCTGAACATGCAGGGTCTAGGTACAGACTTTGGTTTTACTCTTGGTTTTACATGAAAACACCAGTTTGGAACAGGACTCTGGTTGCTGTGCAGAAAACAGACCACTGGAGACAAGGAGTGGAGAGTAAGAGGCTGTGGCAATTCCAGATGAGGGATGATGGTGGCTTGGACTAGAGTGGCAGAAATGGAAGTGCTAAGAAGTAGTCAGATTCTGGAAAGATTTTAAAGTACTGGCAGAATGTGTTGATGGACTGGATGGGTGTAAAGTAAGGGAAAGAAAAGTCAAGATTGATTCTGAGATTCTGGGTGAAGAGTGCTACCACTGACTGCACAAGGGTGGAACAGTGGAGAGCAGGAAGTAGGGGATCATGAAGTCGATTTGAACAGGATTGTTTTGAGAGACCCATCAGACATCCAAGTGGAGACAGGGAATAAGCAGCTGGAGTTTGAAGGGAAGTGTAGGTTAAAGATGAACATTTGGGAGGCATCAGCATGCAAATGTATATAAAGCTTGGGAATGGCTGTGGTCACTGAGCGAGTGAGTACAAATTGAGAACAGGTGAGAGAACTGAGCCCTAGGGGCTTGCAGTGCCTAAAAATCGGGGTCAGAGAAGGAGCTAGACACTGAGGAGGGGCAAAATCAAGGGTGGAGGAAAATCCGGACATTGTGGAGTCTTGGAAGCAAATGAAAAAAAAAGTGTTTTAAGAAGGATGGAATCATCATCTCTGTCAAATGACACCGATGAGGACTAAAAGGAGCATTGATAACTGACCACTGGGACCACTAACAGGTTCAGTTATTGACCTTGACATGAGATGGTGAGGTGGGAAAAGAAGTCTGCCCGAAGTGAGGTCAACAGGCAATGTGACGTAAGGATGCACCGACAGGCAATATAAGCAACTCTTTTTAGAAGTTCTGCTATAAAGGAAGCAAAGAAATGGGGTTACAGCTGGAAGAGAACGTAGGATCAAGGGAACGTTTTATTCTCGTTTGAGAGCTATGACAGCATCCTAGTATGCAGCAAAAAGCTTACAAAGTTTCTAGAGGCGGAGTGGGAGGAAGGGGAGATAAACAGTTTATTTTTTCTGAAGGAGGAATTTAGTTTTGAGCGAAGCCTGGATACACTCAAGGTTAAACAGAAAAGCTGCCCTGGAGTGGGGCAGGGAGGCATCAGCGTGGAGCAGGAAAGCCCACCAATCTTCGAAGAGACGCGCCTCCCAGATCACAGCCAGAGAAAATCCGCCCTCGAGAACCCGAAGTTTCGCCTCTTGCAGATGCCCTCCGGTTCCCGACTACTCACCCAGCACCAGGACCATCTGGCCACACAAACAGTAGTAGACGTGGAGGGGCTTCTCGCCGTCGTCATACTCCTCCCGATCCCGGGTGTCGGAGCAGACTACCGACCGAGACACTACTTTAGGCATCGTTCGCAGGAGCAACCCGAAAACGCTCCGCCAAAACTAAGGGTCGCGCAGAAATGACGTCACAGACGGGCGTTGAGCCTTTTCCCAGCCGCAACGCTGGTCACGTGTCAGTAGCGTTCCTGTGGACTTCCGGGCCGGTCCATTAGGCCCGAATGCGCGGGGGCATCCTGAGCCTTCAGAACCTCCTTTGCTTTGGACTGAGTTAGCTGGAACTGCTTTACTTGGGACGCTCTTGATACTATTTAAATTATTCATGTATGTTTCTGTACACGTAGGTACATGCAGAGACATAAAACCAGTTATAACGAAGAATTATATTTACACATTAAGGGCATAATACAGGTTTTAGGTGTGCCTCTAAATTATGATTTTGATTTTAATGGCTGTATTCAGAATGAGTACCTAATGAAGTAGAGGTATCTTTTTTAACTTGAGATATAATTTATATGACATAAAATTCACCCTTAAAAAGTGTATTATGCGGTGGTTTTTAGTATATTCACAAAGTTGGGCAACCATCACCACTATCTAATTCCAGAACATTTTCATCGTCCCATATAATTAGCAGTCACTCCCCACTTCTTCCCAGCACCTGGCAACCACGAATCTACTTTCTGTCCCTAGGGATTTGCCTCTTCTGGACATTTCATATGAAAGGAATTAAACAGCGTGTGGCTGTTGGTGTCGGGCTTCTTAGCGTAATGTTTTCAAGGTTCATCCATGTTTTAGCGTGAACGGGTAAAAATTAGTAATGAATCCGTAAAAAGGAACTTCATTCTTTTTCATGGCTGAATATCCTGTCTATGGCTATCCCACATTCTGTTTATTCATGAGTTAATGGACATTTGGGTTTTTCCCACTTTTTGGATATAATGATTAATGCTACTGTGAACGTCTGTGTACAAGTTTTTGTTAGAACGTATGTTTTTAGTTCTCTTCGTTGTATACTTAGGAGTGGAACTGTTGGGCTATCTAGTGACTTTATGTTTCACCTTTTGAGGAACTGCCAAGAGTATTTTCCAAAGCAATTTTACCATTTTACATCCCCATCAGACTATATATGGAGGAGGGGGTCTGATTTCTTCAAAACCTCACCAATAATTATTTTTGTCTGTCTTTTTGATCATAACCATCCTGGTGGGTGTGAAGTGATATCTCATTTGAGAGCTATGACAGCATCCTAGTACGCAGCAAAAAGGTTACAAAGTTTCTAGAGGCGGAGTGGGAGGAGTGGTTTTGATTTTCCTCTCCCTGGAGGCTAATGTTGAGCACTTTTTCACCTGCTGTTTGGTTATTTATGTATCTTCTTTGGAAGAAACTGAACATACTGAAACTCTCCCAGGACCCTCTTTGTGGAAGACAAGAGCCTGGAACAATCCAGAATAAGGACATTGAAACAGTTTACATTGGCTAACTTCAAAAATCCAAATGAAGACGCCAAAATAGTGGATTTTTAACAGAGAACTTAGTGAAGGCTGCAGGAGCTTGTGTCTAGAAATTGACAGTTTGGCTGGAGGAAGTGTAGTGTTCAAGACACACAGGATGTAAACCAAGGGGAATTTAAAGCCATCTGCTAGACTTCAAATGAACATGAACTAAATAAAATATACAAGAAATGTGGTATATATATATATATATATATATATATATATATATATACACAATGGAATATTACTCAAGCATAAAAAAGGAGATCTTGTCATTTGCAACAGCATGCATGGACCTGGAGGGTATGATGCTAAGTGAAATAAGTCAAAAAAGACAAATACCACATGATTTGACTTATATGTGGAATTGAAAATACAAAACAAAGAAAAAGCAGAATCAGACTTATAAATACAGAGAACAAACAGTTGCCAGATGGAAGGGGGTGGAAGAATGGGCAAAATGGGCGAAGGGGAGTAGGAGATACAGACTTCCAGTTACGGAATGAAGAAGTCATGGAAATAAAAGGTAGAGCATAAGGAATATAGTCAATGGCATTGTGTTAGTATTTCATGATAAAGGATGGGAGCTACACTTGTGGTGAGCATAGCATAATGTATACAGCAGTTGAATCACTATGTTGTACACTTGAAACGAATGTAATATCGCGTGTCAAATATAATCAAATTTTTAAAAATCAATTCAGATCTTAAGGAATCACAGTGTTTGTTCCTTAGGTCTTACTTAAATGTCATCTCTATGATTTCATGTTATTCAGTATTTATTGATCTTCTGTGTGTTAGGCACTGCACTATATACTAGTTGTGTAATGATCAACTATAAATAATCTCACCCCCTCATGTGCCTTAGTCTGGTGCAGGGGTGAGTAAACTTTTTCTGTAAAGGGCTCAAGAGTAAATATTTTAGGCTTTCAGGGCCAAGAAGCAAAATCAAGAAAATTATGTAGACCTATGTAACAAGAGAGAAAACAAATTTCCACAAGTGTTTTATTGATGAAATTCAAAATATAATAGTAATTATATCTTTGTAATATAGGTCTGCTAATGAGAAGAATAGCATTCTTTTATGGAGGGGGACAATATTTCACTTAATTAGGGTTCAAAGTGAGTGTTCTCTACCATCAGAATCATTTGCAATCTCAATACACCCTTACAGGTTTTTAAATTGCTTCATATCTGGTCAAACTGAGATTTTTAAGAACCTCATTTTTCATTTGTAATAAAAGTTTACAACTTTTTTCAAGAGTCAACAAAATGAAAGCACCTGTTAATAAAGGTCTCTTTTAAAAGATTTATTCATTTATTTTTAGAGAGGTGGGAGAGGCAGAGGGAGAGGGAGAGAGAGTCTTAAAAGCAGGCTCTGTGCTGAGCGTGGAACCCAACACAGGGCTTGATGTCATGACACTGAGATCATGACCTGAACCGAAACTAAGAGTCAGACGCTTAACCGGTTGTGCCGCCAGCACCTGTTAATAAAGGTCTTAATGAAATAAATCAGTTGCAAATATTCATCTGTTAATACTTATCTGTAATGAGATTTTACATATTTCATCTTTGAAAAAAAAATTGTAACACAGCTAAGTACTGCCAAATACTGATACCAAATACCTGATTTTAATTGAGCATATTTATCTTTTAGAAGGCATTTTTGAAACTCAATTAGATTCTTCTCCTGGTATTTGCCTTTTAGCATGTCATTGCATACAGAATAATCACTTCCAATTAAAATTTAGGTGGAAGCTCCTGAAATGCACAGTGAAACTGATTTGTCTAAAATATTTTATTCATTTATTTGACAGAGAGGGAGAGTGGGGGGAGCACAAGCAGGGGGAGTGGGAGTGGAAGAGAGAGAGAAGCAGGCTCCCCGTCTAGCAGGGAGCCTGATTCCGGGGCTTGATGCCGGGACCCTGGGATCATGACCTGAGCCGAAGGCAGACGCTTAACTGACTGAACCACCCAGGCGCCCCCAGTGAAATTGATTTTTAAATATAGAAATTTCTTTTGCATTTTGCATTAATTTCCAAAAAACACCACTGGAATTGTAATTTGAGCCCAGAAAAGATATTCATTGCAAATTGGTGTGGGAATGCAAATCTTGATTTTTGTTTTCATTTTTGACAGCACAGGAAGAGATTAAAGTAATGACATTACTTGCAATTCAAACAATGTTAGTTGTCATTGACTTCACTGAAATGTAAGTTTCACACATAAGCAGTGTTTTGCCTTGTAATTTTAGTTTAAATGCATTAAGTAACATTAAGTCTACAGCAAAAGTTAATTTAAAAAACCATCCAGCGTTCGAGCTGGAGTTGGACACCAGCAGCGCTATGCTTTGCTGCCCGTGGGTCCCCGACCTACTCTCCTCGTTGTGTACCTGGACCGGCCAGCCGGGAGCTCCCCGGGCGTCCTCTGTGTGGCCACGAGATAATGATGCTGCTTGAGCTGAACAATTAAGTGTTCTAAAGTCAAAATCGTGAGATTAATAATGGCAAGAAAATCTTCGCTTTTTAAAGTAATTCTCCTTGGAGATGGTGGAGTTGGGAAGAGCTCTCTAATGAACAGATATGTGACCAATTAAGTTTGATACCCAGCTCTTCCATACAATAGGTGTGGAATTTTTAAATAAAGATTTGGAGGTGGATGGACATTTTGTTCCCATGCAGATTTAGGACACGGCCGGTCGAGAGCGATTCAGAAGCCTGAGGACGCCATTTTACAGAGGTTCTGACTGTTGCCTGCTCACTTTTAGTGTCGATGATTCTTAGAGCTTCCAGAACTTGAGTAACTGGAAGAAAGAATTCATATATTACGCAGATGTGAAAGAGCCCAAAAATTTTCCTTTCGTGATTTTGGGCAACAAGATTGACATAAATGAACGTCAAGTGTCTACAGAAGAAGCCCAAGCCTGGTGCAGGGACAATGGCGACTATCCTTACTTTGAAACAAATGCAAAAGATGCCACAAATGTCGCAGCAGCCTTTGAGGAAGCAGTTCGAAGAGTGCTTGCTACTGAGGATAGGTCAGATCACCTGATTCAGACAGACACAGTCAGTCTGCACCGAAAGCCCAAGCCTAGCTCATCTTGCTGTTGATCGTCAGAGAGGTTGCCTGTGCGATCTAACCAACTTACACACATTCACTGAAACAAAACACGGTGGAGAAGAGAATTAGCATTTGCAGCAATGGATCATCTACTCATAAAATTAAACTAACCATAATGCTGCTTTGTTAGTGGGTGGGAGAAGAGACACATCCACTCATGGAAGAATCAATTTACTCAGTAGTGGCACCTTACATTTATAAATTGTAATGGTTGTCTAATAACATTTAATTTAAATATGTATGTTACAGAGCTAATAAATGAGATGATCAATACTTTAATTATAATTAAAACAAAACACTTGAATATTCTGGAAGTTATTGTTTGTTTTTCCTGGGAAAATGGAGAACTACTTTTTATATGTGTATATTTTTATGTAATTAGCATTCAGTTCCTGGTTGAGGGGGAAAAAATTCCCTAAAGCAATAATGTTAAATAATAAAGATTAAAACCTAAAAAAAATAAAAATAAAAAACCATCCAGCATTCAATAATAGTGGTTGCAGGTGGTTCTTCTCATTCAGAAAACTTTCAATCTCAGCCCTAAGCTTAAAAA